GGCGGTCCACCGCTTCGAGGTGGGGCTGCACCTGAACCTCAGCATGCTCATCGCTGACCCGGCTTCGCAGCACCCAGACGCCCTCACCGTCGAATCCGGCGGCGCCGGCAGCGCCGCGCGCGGGCTGCTGCTGATTGGGGACCTCGGGCTGGGGCCCGGCGGCGACAGCGAGGGCGGCGGTTCCGGCGGTTTCGGCGGCGACGAAGGGGACGACGGGATGCTGCGGCCGCCGTCGCTGGGGTTTCAGGTGCTGCCGCTGGCCCGCACGCGGCCACAGAGGATTACAGGCGGCGTTAACGCCAGCGGCGGCACCGGGGCAGGCCGTGGTGGAGGCACTGTTGCTTGAGCTGCGGCAAGGTGTGCCGTGTGGAGATGAGGGTGTATGCAGGTGTGGATGAGCATATACGTGTGTGGGGGGCGTGGCCTCGTGGCCTGCTGATGGCTGTCTTGTTGTGTGTGGCGGATTCGTAGAGGTCTTCGTGAATGTTCGCATTGATTTGTTGTTGATCTGCCTGGTTCCTGTGGGGCCACCCCAGGCAAAAGAGCCGCGCGCTGCCCATAGCTGCGCAGCAGCGCCGGACCTCCACCTGCCTCCTGGCAGGGGAGGCGAGCGTCACGGTGGTCTTCTCCTCGCCGCTGGGCAGGAGGAGCAGTATCCACTTTGCAGAGTTGCACCATATGCTGTCAAGTTGTAAAATCTCATCATTCATCGCTCCCCTTGCTGTGGCATGATGCTTTGGGGTCATCAGCACTGTGGTGAAGGGCCGTCTGCGTCATGCAGTCGCAGCGCACTTGAATGCTTATGCATCACTTGAAAGGAGACACATTTATACACATATGCAAGCTTCTGAGCGACTCAGTGCTATATTTATCACACAGCAGCCTTGAGGATGGACGCAAGGTCAGGTTGAAGCCGAGGCGGTGGCAAAACCCGACGGCACGCATGTCATGCTCTCTGCAGCTCCAGCACGACCTGCTACCGCTGGGAGCCGCAAAACCAGGCGGGTCATGAGCCAAACAGGGACAGCTGAATTGACTCTCCTTCAACCTACTCAGATACGATTATCACAACAGCGATCTTCGCGCGCGGCGGTCTGCAGGATCAAAATGGCTGACGTCCAGCCTACCAAAAAACGGCGCCTTCTTGATATCACCAGCAAAGTCGATTTCCAAGGTCCCGGACAGCAGGGAGCAGCTGCAGCTGTAGCAGCACCAGCGGGCACACTCACGGCGGCGTCGATCGTCGTGCCGCCCATTACACCACCCCGGCCCGAACTCGACGCGGGGGCCTGTGACAATGATGGCGAACTTGACGTACCGAGCGACGTCGAGGCGGCGGTGATGCTACTGAAGGCTGAACTCTACGGCGCGGTCGCAGCTGCAGCGTGTGCCAAACAACGTCGCCCTCCCGCAGCCCAACAGCAGCAGCAGCAGCAGCAGCAGCAGCAGTCAGCGGCCTGGGGTGCGGGCGGGCTCCCTCCATTCGTCCTCAAAGCCCACATTTACACGGTGGTCTCAGATCGCACGGCGGCAGATCGCGATCTAGACGACTTGCTGGCGCGCGGCCGCGCGCGCGCATTCCGCCTGGCGACGGGTGCAGACGAACATGTCGTGCTGCTAATGAGCGATTATTTGGCCCTGATATCATCAATCATTGCGCACAAGGATGATGAAGCGCGGCAGGGGCAGCTGCGGCAGCTGGAGGGACAGCGGGTCGAGGCAGCGGAACAGGCGGCGCCCGGCCCCGGCGCCCGCGCCGTCGTCACCGCGCCCGCGGCGGCCGCGGCGGCAGCGGCGGCGCTGCGGCGATTCAGGGACCGCGTTGCGCCACGCTGCCGGGACGCGAGCATCAGCGTGGAGCGGCTGCTGCAGCTGCTGGCAGGGCGCGATGACAGCAGCAGCGCTGGCGGTGGCGATGCCCCTGGCCGGCGGCTGTCCCAGCAGCAGCAACAGCAGCAGCAGCAGCAGCAGCCGCCGCAGCAGCAGCAAGGGCAGCGAGGGCAGCGGCATCACCATCAACAGCAGCCGGACGGAGCCAGGCGGACAGCAGCTCTCCCGCACGCCGGCAAACACGCCGGCCCCGCCGCCGCGGCCGCCGCCACCGCCCGGTCGGGCGATGCAGATGTCTCCCACCTGTTGGCGGCCGAGCTGCTGAGCCGCGACTCCCTGGTGCCGGGGCGGCTCACGTTCACGGTGCCCGGGGCGGGGCGGATCGTGCGGTGGCTCGTGGACGGGCGGCAGGAGCTGACGCAGGCGCTCTCGAAGAAAAGGTGGGGTGTGCACTTGCGCACACACTTTCACAGCAACACACGTGTACCCGCGTGCGCACGCGTGCACACACACACACACACACACACACACACACACACAAGCGCGCGCGAGCAAACGCGAATGCTCTCACGATTTGCCCGTACAATCTTACATGTGCACTGCTTTTGGTATAAGCGGTCCAAACAGCTGTGCCCCAGCGTCGCTGGCACCTGTGTAGCGCTCGGCGCGCCCCACCAGATTCGCTCGAGTGTCCCCGCCACAGCAATCTGGAGCACGGCCAGGAGCTGCACCATCATTTAAAGCATAAATTTCAGTCAAGTCAATGGACCCCCCAAAGCGGCCCCAGTAATCAGCTGCCATCACCCCACCCTCTTCTCAACCCCTCTCGCCAAGGTTTGGGGAGGCGCTTGAGAAGGAGCTGCTGAAGCTGAAGCTGCGCCGCAGCACACTGGGAGTGAGGTTCCACCTGCGGGACCTGATAGGGCGCGGCACCGCGGCGCGGGGCGACAGCCCTGCGGGCCCCGTCATCCGGCTCGCGCGGCCGTGATGCGTCGCCGAGGTTGTCGGCGCGCAGCAGCTCGGGCCCCGTCGGCGCGCCGAGCCGGCCGCTCGACCAACGTATGCATGCTCTGTTTTATGCTGCTCTTTAGAAGCCCACCTGTGGTGCGTGCGCTATGCAGCCGCAACGGCTGTTGCAGGATGCGACTTGAGGAGCGCAAGGCGCCCATTGTCAGCGCGGAAGCTCACCCCTTGAGCTGTCTGCACCACAGCTGCCGCGCAGTTTTGAATCTGAACACACCGCAAGCTCACTGTTTTGAAGACCGCCGGTCCAGAAAGTGTGATGGGAGGCACCGCCTCCTGTGACGTGGGTTTGACAGTCCATGCTGCACGTGATGCTTGACGCTGCCAGCTGCCCGCAGCACAACCTTTCTTGCGCGCTGATAAGCATTGATTTGCGCTTTTTGTTTGCTTATGCCCTCGCCTGCGCGTGTTCATTTGCGGCAGGCTTGTCGGCGGCAAAGGTGAGTAACCCCTCTGTCAGGGTTCTGGCCGAATGCCCTTCATCAGACCATCTCACCCCTGAACATGCGCTATCATTCTCAAAACTTCATGTAAAGGAGAGAGTCGGTTACACAAAGAACCTGGCAAAATGCAATGTTGAGCCTGGCAAAATGTAATGTCCTCCCTGCGGAACTGAGTTGGGGCAGTCGGCTGTCGCCGGAGGGCGTGGTGCGACACTTAGAGGCTGGCCATGAGGGCTGGGGCAGGCGTGCTTCACAACACCTATCATTCAACCAGCCAACTAGTGACCCGTGCATATTCAGCCTCCCCCTGCCTGCAAAACCCTGCATGATATGCCCGAGGGGTTAGGGCTGAATTGATAGACGAACCAGTGGTTTGAGGCCAAAGTATGATAGTTCAAAACCCTGGTGGGTGGTTCCATCCTGCAGGAAGCGTTCTAGCGAAATCCAAAAATGCGCCCTGGCGCGTGCAGTGCAATTGATCTTCTCACTGGGGTGGCACCCCACCGATTGGGGCCGCAGCGCGTGCCGGCTGCGGCTTGGGTCAATTAATTATGAAATGGTCTGTCAACCCTGGGTTGATGCGTGAAGGAGAGGCCGCAGCGCAACAGCGACGAGGCGGCCCAGACAGCAGTCCGGCTGCTGGCATCCTCATGAGCGATAAATTGAATGAGAAACCGTCTCGGAGCGGTAGCCACATGGTGCCAACCTCGCTACATGCTTGTCCTCAGTTGCTCGTGCGCGAATATAAACTCTTATTGGTCCTGGCGCATCCACATACTACCAGCCCTTGCTGTGCAGCAGCCGGCCTGCCGGGCCGCGTCACGTGGGGCGCCCCACGTTGTCCGCAAACTCCCCCATCACGTTGCCGGGGGGCGTGTACTGGCAGACGTACGTCTTCATGCCGCAGGACGGGTTGGACCCGCAGCCGAGCTTGGTGGTGCCTTTCCAGACCACCTGGGTGAAGTGGCCGGTCGCGCCGCTGAAGGTGGCGGCGTTGTAGTCGTAAGAGCTCACCTGGTGGTGGTTAGCAAACAGGGGGATTGTGAGGTTGTACTTTCCAAGGGGGAAAGGCAGGTGGAGACGAGCAGGCCCCTTCTCTGCTGAATCTCGCCTTGCTCATTTGGGGAGCCTCATCGTCCCCTTTGTCAGGGTATTGTGCAGGCTAGCCCGCCCGAACCACAGGCAGGTCCCTGATCAGCCCCCCTCAGCTGCTGGCTGCCCGCCAACTCACAGCGCCCAGCCGACCCACCTCATTGTACCAGGCGTTGACAGCCTCCTCAAATGATGAGTAACCCCACGCAAGGTTCTCGCCGACACCGCTCATGCCCGAGTGCCCGTTGGGGCAGCCGTCTGCGTAGCCCTGGGCCTGCGCCGCCAGCGGCGCGTCCCAAGACAGCGGCGCCGCGCCGTGGCGGGCGCGCAGCTCGTTGTGGCGCTGCAGGACGGCCGCCAGGTCAGCGCTCAGCCCTGCGGGCGCGCCGGAGCTGCCGCCGCTGCCGCCGCTGCCGGCGCCGCTCGAGTCCACAACATTTCCGTCTCCGCTGCCGCCCCCGGCCGTGCTCGGCGGCGACGACGGCGGCGAGGGCGGGGCGCTGCCGCCCGTGGCGGCGCCGCCTCCGCCAGCCGCGCCACCCGCGCCTGCGCCTGCGCTGCCGGCGCCGCCTGCCCTGTAGCCGCCGACGGGGAAGACGTGCTGGGTCCAGTCCTGCCCAAGTATGTTGCCGGCAGGGGCGTACTGGCAGATGTAGGTCGGCTGCGGGCACTGCGCGTTGAGCGCGCAGCCGACGGCCGTGGTGTCGCGCCAGACGAGCTGCGTGAAGTGGCCAGTGGACTCGCGCCAGCCGAGGTTTGACCAGTCAACGTACTGCACCTCGTCGTACCACGCCTGGATCGCCGCGCGCCAGTCGGGGTTGCCCCTGCGCGACGGCCGAGGTTGGCGGGGAGGAGCAAATTGCCTGGCTTGAGTTCGAGTTGCGGTACAGACCGAGCAACATGTGGGCAAAATCGTCATGCAGCTTGGTGTTTGGAGGTGCGCTCCCAGGAAATGTCCATCATCAACTAAATGGCAGAAGGTGGTCCGAAGTATTATGAACTGAGGACTTTCCACCCTGACGACCTTATCCCAGTCAGGAACGGGGGCGGACAGGCTGTGACTCACCATGCAATGTTCTCGCCAATCCCTCGGGTCCCCGAGTGCCCCAGCGGGCACCCCGCCGCAAACGCCGCCGCCGAGGCCGCCAGCCCGGCGTCCCACTTCAGGTTCTCCACTCCGTGCCTGGCCCTGTAGCCGTTCTGCTGGTCGAGCAGCTGCCGTGCAGTCGCCGCGTCGACGCCGCCGCCGGCGCCGGAAGCCAGAGGGTCGGGTGTCGGGTCGTCTTCCTCGTGGTTGCTGCCATTGTCGGGACCCAGGATGGGAATCTGGCTGTTGCCGCCACCGCCGGGTATCGGCGTGACTTGGGGCGGTGCAGCGGGGCCGGGGGTGCTTGAGGGAGGGGCGGCCGGGCCGCTGGGGGTGCTGGTCCCGCCGCCGCTGTTGCCGCCCGAGCCAGCGCCGTTGGGGGGCACTTCGGGGCTCAGGGGCGGGCTGACAGGCGGGTTGCGTGCGCCGCCACCGCCGCCGCCGCCGCTGCTGTCGGCAGGTGTTCCCAGGGGGAAGACCTCGTGCGCCCACAGCTGGGGCAGGCCGGCGCCTTTCTTTATGTTGCCCTGCGGCTGGTACTGACAGATGTACGTCTTGATCTTGCAGTTGGTCGTGACGGCACAGCCGACGCGCTGGGTGTCGTGCCACAGCAGCTGGGTGGCATGGGCAGCGCGGGCGCTGTATCCAGGGTGCTTGAAGTTGTAGCGCTTGATCTGCAGTGAGGGATCACAGAGGGTTTGAGGGTGCGGTGTGTTGTGAGGATATAATGAGGTCAGATGAAAAGGGTCAAAAAGGCCGTGGGCATGGCCTGCCAGCGCAAGCTAGATCTGCACCTGCAATGCGTCCTGAGAGTGGGAGGTGTTACAATACCTCACACATTGCTCCGCTCTGCATGCCAGCAGGGCTTCAAAAACGTTCCTCTTTTGACATGATTGTTATGCATCCTGCTAGCTGACATGACCGGCAGACGCAGCTGCCGCGCAAACGGCAGACCTGAACCGTATCACGCACCTCCCCCGCCAGCCAGCCCCCAGCTGCTCAGCACCCCACTCGGGCCCCGCCTGCCAGGCAGGGCCGCGCGCGTGCCTCCCCCCACCCGACCCCACGCACCTCAGAGTACCAGGCCTTGATGCCATCCTTGAACTCGGGGTAACCCCAGGCCATGTTTTCCCCGCGATCCTTCCACGCCTTGCTCTTAGTCATCGGGCAGCCAGCCAGCCACGACATCGCGTCATTCGCCAGCGACGCGTCCCACGCCAGCGCGGGCGCGCCGTGCGCGGCGCGCATCTCGTTCTGCAGGTCAAACGCCGCTTTGACCTCGGGGTCCATCAGGTTGACCACGACGGCGGCGGTGGGGGGCAGGGTCGTGCGCTTGCGCTTCCCTGCTGCGCCGGCAGGCGCAGGCGCCGGGACCAGGGCTGCGGCAGCCGCGGGGGCGGGCGACGTCGCGGCGGCGGGTTGCCACTCCTCGATGGCCGCGGAGGCGGCCGGCGTGGGGGCGACGGCCGGGAGAACCTGCCAGGGAAGAGGCAGAGGGATATGGTGCCTGAGTTGTGCACAGCTGGAGCCTAAGTAGTCGCGCCTGCGCCCGCACACATCACATTGCCGCCGCGCCGCGCCCCCGCACATTCCCAAGCAAGCACGCCGCCATCTGCAGTAGCGCCCTACCAGCTCCCGTCCCCGCGCGGCCGGCTTCGCCGCCGGCCCGCCGCACCTGCTGCGCCCAATCGGCGCCGATGACGTTGCCAGGCCTGATATACTGGCAGACGTACACCGGCCACGTGCACCGCAGGTTCACGGCGCACCCCATACGGGACGAGTCCTTCCACACCAGCTGCGTGAAGTGCCCGGCGTCTGCGTTCCAGCCGGGGTCTGAGAAGTCGTACTGGACCACCTGGTGTGTGTGTGTGTATGTGTGTGTGTTTGTGTGTGTGTGTGCGTGCGTGCGTGTGTGTGTGTGTGTGTGTGTGTGTGTGTGTGTGTGTGTGTGTGTGTGTGTGCGCGCGCACGCGTGCGTGCATGCGTGTGTGTATGTGTGTGTGCGTGTGTGCGTATGTGTGCGCTTGCGCATGCATGTGTGCGTGTGGGTGAGTGTGCGCGTGCGCACTCATGTGTGTGAGAGAAGTATGGCGCAGACACCGTGATATGCATTGTGCGTGAAAGGGTGCAAACACTACAGCGGTACAAGGGGGTGGCAAGCAGCAGGCGGATTATTACCCCGGATGCAGCACAGGTGGCCAATATCCAGCCCTCCCGCCCCCTTGGAGCCCGCCCTTGCGCCCAGCTGGTAGATTGTAGGGTGCTGATATTCATAAGGAACGAACAGTCCCAGGCAGTGCGAGCTGGCGGCCCCTCACCTCCGAGTACCACTTATCGACGGCGGCGCCAAAGTCGCTGAGGTCATAGCCTCTCGCCACGTTCTCGCCGTACGCCTTGGAGGAACCTGGGCTGCCGCCGCAGCCGTCCGCCACCGCGGCTGCGTTGGCCGCAAGATCATCGTCCCAAGTGACGGGCGCCACCTGCAAGCACGGTAGTTTTTGTCAGTTCAATGATGACATGCAGGAGGAGTGGGCTACCAAAAGTGGCGGGATTGCAGCACACAGGCAGCAGATGCGCCGCGCGCAGGCTTCCGGGCGTCGCAAGCAAGCTGCGATCATCGCGCGCCGCCTGCCAGTGCAGCTTCGCAACAGACACAGCGCGGCCGCCATGGACATCAACAGCCCGCACCTGATGCATAGTCCTGTAAACGTTGGTACGGTCCAAGGCGAGGCGCGCGGCAGCGGCCGCGTCGTCGCACCGGCGTGGCGCCACCGCTGGCACCGCGGCCACGACTGGGCCAGCCGCGGGCCTCTTGGAGCGGCCATTCAAGGTTATGTCGGCCACCGGCTCTGGTGGCGGCTGCGCGTCCTCACTCTGGGCACGGGCCGCAGCCGCAACCTCGGACTTTGTGAGCGGCCGAGGCACTTCGGTAGCCCAGTCGCCGCCGATGACGTTGCCCGGCGGCGAGTATCGGCAGACAAACGTCTTGGAGGGGCAGCCGGCGGCGACCGCGCAGCCGACGGTCGTGGTGTCGCGCCAGACGAGCTGCGTGAAGCGGCCGGCGGAGGCGCGCCAGCCCGGGCGGCTGAAGTCGTAGAGCTTCATCTGTGCAAGCGGCATGACAGGGAATGTGGATATCGCTCCGGTTGCGATTGCAAGGTGTGTGGCTAGGTGTCCACGCAACGACATCGCTCAAGAGTGAGTCAGTTGTTGGAGCTCGCACACTCGCGTGGGTACTCATATTGGACTCATCAAGAAATGACAAGCAGATCTCCACCTTGCAGCTGACGGCCTGCTGCGCGCTCACCTCATCATACCAGCCCTCGACCACAGCCGCAAAGCTGGCGTCGCCCCGCGCGATGCTCTCGCCGACGCCCTCCGCGCCTGACAGCCCGCCGCTGCATTCAGCGGCCCACGCGCCCGCCGACGCCGCGAGCCCGGCGTCCCAGCGCAGCGGGGCCGCGCCGTGTCTTGCGCGCAGGGCGTTATGGGCGTCGAGGGCGGATAGGGGCTCCCCGGTGGGCGGCTGCTCGGGCTTGGCGACGGCGGCGATGGCGGGGCGGACGTTGGCCGCCCAGGCCTGGGGGTTGGAGGCTGCCAAAGTGGCGGGGTGCAGGTGGGGGGTGAAGGGTTGGTCAAGGCGTACTTGAGCAGGGGTGCGGGATCTAGTGGGTCCCCCCGATCACAAAACAAGCTGTTGTATTTGATGGGCTTGCAGTTTGCAATAGCCAGTTGTGCGCAACACTTGGTTGCTTGTGAATGTTGATGTGCAACTTTGCAATCACATCTGCATCCCTGCCACAAAACAGCCGGTTGACACTTGGAAGAGCCGCTCACTCGCAGAGGGCAGGTAGATGCAGACGTAGAATGGCCTCGTGCAGCCGCGGTTGACGGCGCATCCAACGCCCGTCGTGGTGCGCCATACGATGTTGGCGAATAGTGCCGCCTTTGGTGCCGACGCCTGGGGCCCAGGATGGCTCAAGTCGTAGGAGGAGATCGTAGCGTACCACGCGTCAACTGCTGCCGTGAAGGTCGTAAAACCTCGGGCCATGTTCTCCGCAGAACGCGCTGGCCGTGAGTTGGTGGTGCTGCAGGTGGCGGCGGCGGCCACAGCAGCGCGACCCAGTGTGGCATCCCAGCGCAGTGGCGGGGAGCCGTGGCGCGCTCTGAGCTGGTTATGGTGCTGGAGGGCAGCGGCGGCCTCTGAGCTGGGTACTGTGCCAGCTGGCGATGCAGGGTCT